CAGTTAGCGTTAGAGTATGGCCCTCAGTGGCATTGAATTTGGTTCTGTCTCCCGCTTCAATGTAACCCATCCTAGGATTCGGTGGCACAGTGTTTGGCGGCAGAGCACCTTGCTGATAAGTGACGGCATATTCAGAGTAAACGGTATAGTAAAATGAAATGACTGAACAGGCCAACAGTACACTTAGTAATGCCAGGAGTCGTGTCATCGTGAAACAAAAAGAAGAAAGCAAGGTAGTACCTCCATGTTAAAAGAGTCACGTTCCACACAGCGTCTGTGATCCCACTCATAGGCACAGACTAATTGAATATGCATTACCTTCTTCAAGCATGTCGAAAAAGGATGCTGAAGTCGGCTGGGTAGTGGTGACGGTGATTTTTTTTAAACTAAATGACCATCTGTGCCACGTAATTGTCGTATAATGTGGCAGTAAGAAGCAATGTAGAAGTTGCTGCAATGAAAATTGAGCAGAGCTGCATGCAAGGGTAGGCTGTCCTCCAGTCAACGCTAAAACGGAAGATGTGTCACAAACCAGTCACTAGTTGACGTCATGCTGTGATGAGTCAAGCCACGCGAAGACCCAAGGGCAATGTCCCACCGGTCTGTGGCAGACTGTTTTGCTGTTTCTCACCTAATCTGACCATTTTGGGCCGTGTTTCTCGACAATCCTGCAGGTCATTCGACTAACAGGCGATAAGGACGTTGGTGATTAAGTTGTCGGTCAAACGTCATATTCGTTGACAAATCGGTATTAAAGTATAGCCCCCTTACCAGCGCCATCTCTTACTTAATCTTCACACCATCCAACTGTTTGTAAGATATGCAGAACAAGTTAAGTGACAACGCGTGTTCCACTTTTCGTGGAATTTCTTATTGATTTCTTGTCTACAGCATCATTGTCAATAGTTCTGTCTTTCGTATGCAACTCTCGGCTTTTATCAAAACACTGCAGCTAAAGTAAGCTTTTGTTATAGCCTTGACAATTTTTGTTAGTAGTGATGCAACCGTAACACGTGTAGTCCCCACAAAAAACCGAACCACCGTTCCTCGGAAACTTGCGCCCTCTGTTGGCCCCCAACTTGACACCTCTTCCCTCGCTGGCTGTAATTCAGTTGACAAAAATCTCTGTTCATGTACTGCATGTTTGCAGCTAATTACATTGAAAGTCATCTTATAAAAGCGCTGTATAGGATTTCAAAAAGTGATTTTTTTTCCGAGCTCGTTTTGATGAAGTGTATTTTTTGATGTTCTTTGTCTATGAAGTACATTGTATTTGGTTTTCAACCTCGTTTCTGCGAGAGATATCTTCCAATGTTAGTTTGTACGACATATTCTCCAGTTTGTTCTTACGACACCTTTTTTTAAATTGTCTCCCTTTGGGAATAAATAGTTTCACGAAATCCTCCCAAGTCCTCGCTCTCAGTCTTCTTTTTGTCCTCACAGACTCTGAGAGGGAAGTTGCAAATATGATTAAAGTAGTCCTTTGTTTCCTTCTCATGTGGAAAGGAAATTGTGATTTGATTCTAATTGTACAATGTAGCATAAAGGTTGCCTCATACTTCGTGCAAAAGCGTAAACAAACACAAAGTTGTGACGTCAGATCGGGCATATTTGTAAAACTTGGACACATTTCAACTCAAGCGAAATTTCGTGACTGCAAATCGCTTCGTTTTCACTTTGGCGTGAAGTCTGAACCAGTCTGGCCTTGATACAAAATTCCTTTAGAGCCAGCAAGTATATACATTTTGAAAAAGTGAAGTATATTTTTTTCCAAGTTCGTTTTCATGAAGTATACTTTTTTCAACTTCATTTTAGGAGATTGTTTCCTAGTTTGTTTGTTTGATACATAATCATACTCTCCAGTCTGTTCTTATGAGATCTATATTTAGAAACCTTGTTTGTAAACAAATCGTGTTTATGAAATGTACCTTTCCAGGTTCATTTTTATGAGATTAATTTTTGAAGTATACTTTTTATGAATTCGGTTTTTTGAAAGTCGTTTCTGTAATTTCAAACTTAAGAAACATATATCCCTTGAAAATTTACTGGGAAAAAATATACCTCACGTTTCACAATACTGGGTGGCACGACAGGGCTTTCGTATCATGAAGAGTTTCGTACTAATGCAATTGGCGAAGCCTTGATCGTTTGGAGACAGCTTGTAAATTTCCAGTGAATTTAAAAGAGTTGTGAATTTATCAACTTTGGTGGGGCCTACAAGACTTTGAAGACGGTTGTGAAACTTGGGTAAATTAAGTAGCTCTTGAAGGTCTGCATGGTGAAATACGATAAGGCAGAGGGTTTGCGGATACACCATATGGAAAATATCTCTTTTGAGTATGTGTGGTTCTGAAAAGAACCGGTTATTTGACGTTTCAGACAGTGAGTACTCTGTCCGTCTACTGGACTGATGCGATCCAACTGTGCTGTTGCTTATATCCTGTGGGTGAACACTGAGGAACGGGAATCGGGGTCCAAGCTATCTGGGTGCTGGGGCGTACTTGGGTAAAGTCAGACGTTCAGCTCAGTATTGTTTTGTGTAACTCGATTGATGTGCGGATTAATCTTGAAATAGATTTTTATAACGTGACGGTAAATATTAAACAAAGCTGTGATTAAGAGGTTGTTGTCCTCTAAAATATCAGCACAAGCTTATGGTTTTGTCGTGGGGAGGAGTGATTTTTAAGTAATAAATTTGTTTCTGAAGTTGAACACAGAACTTTTGGACATTATTTATTTGTCGTTGCCTTTGATAACTACAAGAGGAAGGTAAGTAGTTTCCACAACCATGTCAGATATTTACTGTTGACAACGACAGTCATCAATTTGTCACCAGTTTGACTCCAGGTTGACGAAGACCTGTTTTTGTTCAAGGCATAAGCGGACGTGTGCCTATGGTTTCCAGTCCAGTGGCGGGTTCTGGATGATCAGGGAAGGTTCGTTACGGAACTAGGACAACAGCATCAACAACAAAACATCGGTAGCACCAACAACATGCAAACACAAAAACACAAAGAAAAATGACTGCTTCTATACCAAAGGTTTCAAACGGAAAAAAATACTTTTTATTTAACAGTGTCTCGTTCACAAGACTTTGGGGAAACCAGCCCTTTAGTCCAATAGGTTGAACTTGTCTAATCGACGTGGTATGTGAATTTGTAACCAGTAAGCAAGATGCCACACCATTTGTTATTTTATTCGTGCCCCCAGTGAACGCTCAACGGGGGTTATGCTTGGGGAAGATTTTGTGATACGCTTGGCCTGCGTTGAATCAACTTTGTCTCTCATTTTTTTCAATGGCGGCGGAAGTAGGGGCAGCTGAGGCAGGCCCCCTCCCCCTGTTTTTGCAGGTCCTATTGTGGGGCAGGGCTTAGTGATGGATCGGTCTCTCAATGATAGATAACCGATACTCCCCCACTTTGAATGTGTTCTTTTGCTGAAGCCCCACACGCTTGATGTAAAATACCCCACAATTAAGGCTGAAAAGCCCGTTAGGCCCCAATGCGGGTATTTATAGTTTTCGGGTGAGCATGGAACGTGTTCGCATCTACATAGGCCTACCACTGTTTGAAGAGGGTGCTTGACATAACGAGAGAGACAAAGTGTAAAGGCTGGATCATACTTGTCCCAGGAATTTTAAGAAGGCAAAAACAAACAAAAATGAAGCTGATGCTTCTCTAATTGGAATAATTAGTTTGAAGTGCACTTATTAACATGCTTGTCCTTTTGAAATGATGATAATAAGCTTGAGGGAAAGCAAGACTTATGTGTCCATTTCTTCTACATTTTGAATAATGTTCAAATGTCAGTCCCTCAAATACTTTCAAATCGTAGACGTTTATTAATGATATACCTGTCTTGAGAATTTTAGCAATACAGAGATAGAGAACTAAGGTGTTGCATCCTAATTTGAATATGTGACAAGTGCACTTGTATTTCAGGGAAACGGATCGGTAGTCGAAATAACATTAAATCAAGACCGCCCTCTTGTGTCCACAGTAAGCCACTTCAGCAGTAGGAGGCCCTGAAGTAGGCCACCGTGTTGCTGTTGATGCCCGTGTTAGGTTTCTGGTTGCACAGCGTGTAACTGGGGGAAGTTAAAAACACGAAACGATATTTGTGGAGATGACTTTTTTGCTAAACACACTGAGTAACTGGCCTCATTTACAAGTCTGCCATATTGAATTGAATTAAAAAGCGAGATTACCTTTTTTATTTAGAGACTTGGGAGTGAAAATGAAAGCACTTAAATAAAACTTCATTACAGATTAATGTCATATATGCTGATGAGGAATTGAACATTTGTGATCAATGATATCAATATGTTTTAAGCATCATTTAACAAAGGAAAACGAGGCATGGAGCCCCGACTAATCTGGCACCATCCCAGATTGCACTGATTGAATAAGAAAAAAAATGCTATCCTGTAAATTTCTGTCTTGCTGGAAGAGTTGAAAAGAAGGTATGCATGAGTGTCAAACAAGACACGTCCTCGAGCTGACACTGCGTTGCCAGACCCGAAGAATCGACCTTGCAGCAACTACCCGACTTAATGATATGCCATTAATTGAAAACGCCATAAATTTAGAGAAAAGGACATTCAGCTTTGGTTTTGTGTATCTGAATTACACTTTATATCACGATTATCTTCATTTCTCCATTATTTCTTCTCGGGTTATAAACCCTCCCAGATCAATAAATCTCAGAAGGCGATTTCACAATGCGGTCAGTAAAAAGTGGTTGTAACTTTATCTCTGAGAAAACAAGAGTGTTGTAGACAGATTTCCTAGCTCGGATGTGCGAACGTGGACATGTATACCCACAGGAAGTGACAATGTTCCGTAAATTATTGAAATTAAATGCTTGAATGTTAATAACACAGCCCAAAACAGGGTAAATATGCATGAATGCAGTTCATCGGAATTTCAGCTAAAATGTTGGGGAGGATTAGGGGCCTAGTTCTCTGCGCACCAATCTAAGTCAACAAGTGGAAATGACACCATGAATGCTAATTTATTGGCGCTGTGTATCCAGTGGTTGAATGGTTTGGAAGGGGTCTAAATTTTAAAAGGAAATGGTTTGGGTGACAAATATAGCAAACCACATATTCAAACGCTTCTCTTAGCATCTTTCATAAGATATTAAAAATGAAATAAAAAAATTAACGATGTACACAAACATGGGCTCAGGAATCGGCCGAAGTTTATATTTGGTACTGCGAAAACATTTCAGTTTCGGCTTGAGAAATGATAATGCATTTACATGTCGTTTGGACACTGTCACTTAAAAGCTAAAAGCTCCACGAAGTGTCACTTGCACAAAAAAAGTTTGATTAAGCTCGAAAAAAGAGTTATTTTCTTAATTAATATTCTTCACTTGTGAAAAAAAGATGCAGCCTCACGTTAAGATAATTACACACTCATGTCAATAGAGATTTATTCAAGGCTTTTCCGGTAACCATTCAAGTTCAAAAACAAACAAAACTGTTTAATGTGAAGGTGTGTGACTCACCTCTTCTGTAAACTGAGCCCCTTGATGGTGATTTTTGAAATGAACACCTCGATGTCGTCAAAGATTGGCCAGTCGCCTGGGTTGAGCAACTCAAAATCGTGATCCCAGTAGAACTGGAGTTCGCTTAGAGAACCCGGATCCGTGTTGGTATTGAAGACGAAACCCAAATCTGTGCCCGGTTTGAAGTTAAGGCTGTTTCTGTATTGATTGTAATTGTTGATCAGTAAACGGACAGTTAGGCATGCCACCATATCGACGAGGTGTTGGACCAAAAGGGCCTTTGGCGGCACAAAATTAATAAATATACAGTGAAATCTCTTAAAGCTTACAAATTGGTTCGAACGATGAGTACGTTCGGGTGCAAACTATGGGGAGAAAGCTAGGCAATTGCTCTTTAACACGGCGCAGTGCAGTCACACTATGACAACAGGTGAGACTATTTTGTAAAGTCATCGTCACTGACGTAGTACCATTGACTGCAATGCTCACGGCAAGTTCACGGTCAATAACATTTCATACGATATTTTTTATGTAAATGGTGCCCTACATACGCATGTGTGGATTGACAAGTGGTGACTCGATGTTATAGCCCCAAGACCAGGCCCGGTATGGATACAGTTTTCGTCAACTTACTCTGAACAACAAAACACAACAGACAGACTATCATCGCAGATTAAACTTAGCAGATGTGCTCCAAGCAGTAGTGATTCATTTGTTCACGCTGCAGGTTAATGCTTTCTCTGACCAACTGTCTTGCTTTAAGTTAATCTTTGGTCCTTCAGAACTTTGAAACAAACTGCATGGAGTGTATTTTCAACACAATTTGCTGTCTGAATTCTTGTGATTCCTTGGCTTGGAAATCTGAATGCGATGGTTGTGATGGCGATGGTTGGCTTGTGACCGTGACGCTGGAAGCTGTTAAACCTGCTCTTTAGAGATGTTGGAGATTGTTAGAAGGCAGGGAACCACACTGGTACCCCACACGCACGTGCGGTGTAAAGCGGTGATCCAGGTTAATGAGATATAAATGTCGAAATTGTGACTCAAATTGTACTTCGCCGACCATAGTACGTAAAGACCGTAATGGTCAAGCAGTGTGGTCCGTATTCGAGCTTGCTAGTGTGTCTCTTGGCAGATGTCGTCATTCTGTGATAATTTATTTCAGGGTGTCAACGTGTGAGATTATTCTCAAGAAAAAAATTGTAAGCATCTTGAAAAGCTAACGGCTTTTTTATTTTTTAGATTTAATCCACAAGTAATCTTACGTACGACTGACACATCCACATTTGCACTTACTCATTCAGCTTGGTTCTCGTGGTTTTACCACCCCCACCGATGAGAGTTACGTAGGCCCAGCCTTTGAATGTCTCGGCATACCATGGGTCATCAAAGTGCAGGCCAATCTGGAAGGGGTTCTCTGCAGAAAGAGGGAAAGTGATTGGTGAAGTTGACTTTGCTCGTCCCCACCGCCTTTACAGAGCGCAGGGAACACCTTATCTGACTACCTATCGTTCTTTGATGAGGCTTTTCAAGCATAAATTACGGTTTGGTCACAAAAGGGAGAAAATAAGGTTAACCGAGCTTGTTGGCGTTTAGTATTGGGAAAGGTAAGGGAATTTGTGAGTTCGTTTCCTGTCAGAAATAATCAGTTTTAGGGTTATTAAATTTTCTGCCCAGATCTGTAGCCTTCAAGGTTGTTTCATCTAAGGGAAAACGTTCTCTCCAATTCGGGTATTCGACGTTGAGCCTCGCTTGTTAGCACCGCCATCATCAAGTAATCCGATGATTTGCTACCTCCACCTTTCAGTGTTGGCATTTTGATGTAAAGGCCCCTTTTATCTTCTTTTAGGTGGTCGGATTGGGTGGCTGGGACAGGCTAATGTTCTCAGAATTTTGTGAAGGAAGCACTTTACAGCTTTACAAATGTTCAAAGCCGCCCATGTAGGACTCTGACGGTGATTTTATTATGACTGAGAAGGGCAAAATAAGCCATGTGAATAAAATCTGGTACATACACTGAGTTCTTTAAATTCATGTTAAGATAACGATTTGAATTCTCCACACTAAACACTCTGTTGCTATACATCACGATTTAGGGCAATGTGTTGTTAGTTAGAAGGGCACAAAGGAACCAGTCCATTCCAGAGATGGTGGTTGCTATGCAAAAGCTTGCTCCAAATCACGAGGTATAGCAATAGCGTCTTTAGTATGGGGAATTCGAATCGTTATGTTTACGTGCAATCAGATAACTCAGTGTACCAGATTTTATTCAAATTTAACTCGCATAAGGGCTTATTTCGTCGAGCTCTTGGATCTGAATTCGTGGGGACAATAACACCGGTCAACGTGTGGACAGGTTTTGCTTTAATTTAGAGGACAGAACATAAAGGGAAAAAAGAGAGACCTTGTCCTTGATGGCATATCTATATTGTCCTCGGTGATAAGTGCCTGTGATTAATCCATGGGATATTGATATATTATGGGAACATAGGCAAACACAATGTCCTCTCATCGGTGATATAGCAAAGAGCGACTGTGTTAGCATTACACATGGGCACTGCACGCACATGCATTAAGCCAGGAAGCAAGCAAAGAACAAAGCTGACATGATGTTATCGGCTAGCACTTACGGAGCCACCCTGTCAAGAAGGGAAAAATTTTAAACATACCAGCCGTGCAATTCAAGGACTTAATTCGCGGAGAAGAATTAAAGAATAATTGAAATAAAGTAATCAATCCATTTCGGTTTCAACCCAAATGGGTTTGTAGAAAAATAAGCCAGTACATACCGGTACTGAAAACATGAACAGAAAACAAGCGAACGAGTTCAGAGATTTCAGGCATTTCAAGACAACCTTGGCTTTTATCCTTGCAAGCTGCCAACTCGAATTTTCGCTTTTAGACGTTTCTTTTAAAACAACTTTAAGTAAGGTCCTTTGCTTCTGAATTTCGAAGAATTCCGGAAGATTTGATCTTAACGTTGTTCAAGACTCGATTTTTTCAGAATGCTGTTAAGTTTCTGAAAAAAGAATGTAAGCATTTCAAACGTCCTGAGAATTGTGATTTCAGCAAGAATTGAAGCATTATGTTGGCAGGATAGTTTGATTTGAAAATGAAATTATGCAAGCTTGCTTACCACATTACCCTTGATGCATAGTTCGCTCAGTACCACTTTTCGGGGCGGGGTTAGTGCAGGTAACCTTACGTATATTTAGTTTGGTTCCCAGACTAAACAGAGATGTGGGTGCGAAATCCGTTATAAATGATGGTCTCGTGACAAAATGCGGAGGGAGTTCGCTCATTTCCTAAAATTCTTAAACTTTCCGAAATCCATGGTTTTTTTTCGTGAAAATGGTTGTCCTTATAGATTCCCCATATTCGGAAAAAAAGCACCTTTTTTCACTTTTCTGGGTATTATTTATGCAAGTGATATGCACTCATGCACAACCAACGGACGTGTACACGCGGCATCTATTATAGGAATAACAGCCGAATTACGTTATGCTCTTCTGTTGTTCGGATGAAGGCTACCGGCCTTTAAGCTGTCGTGAAAGTGCAGAAGAGAACCAGCCAGCACGGACTTGCGCCATAGTGTAAAACTGAAATACAAATTCTGGTTTGCAACATTAGTTGCTTTGCAAGCTGTTTTGTTCAACTCACGCATGCAGAAAGGAGACGTGTCCGTTGTCGCCGTATAGTACTTCCTGAGCGTAACGCCAGAAGACGGTTTGTAATTGATAGAATGGAAACCCATCGGCGCTACGTCGCCACTGAAGCATTCGCCGTTGACAAAACTGTCGTACGAGTCCGCACCTTTGTCGAAAACAAACAGAAATAAAACTCCTAAAGAAATTCTGTCGTGGTCGCACACAAATATTACAATAAAAAGTAACTAGATAAGTTTATCTTGCTAATTTATGAGGTTCTGAATATTTGTCTTCGATGTTGCTTTTATTTCTTAAGCTAAAATCATAATAGTGGACACACAGTTAACCTTTTCAAGGTGAGATAAAAGTGTCACTTTTGGGAGTAAAGATATTAATAAAACTGTTGATACTTTTGTGTGCTTCTATTTTTTCTCCATTTGAACAAATCTTTATCAATTCTCTATTATTAGGGGAAGCTGACAATCTCGGTTGCCGACCTCGATTTCTGCCTTCCCCTCCATGTTGTTTTACGTACCATTTGGACAACTGAAACCATAAATCGGACAATTGTTGATGGATTGAGTGAAGAACTCGTGAGCCCTCATGTGGTTACATGCCACGAACTTCACACCTCCTGTTCGGTCGTGGAGAGGAAAAGTAAGGATCATGAACAACTCACAATTCGCCTTATTCAAAAGTCGGCCATCTTGAATTGAAACTGAGGCGATCCCTGTAAAACATTTCCCAAAACTTAATACGTATGGGAAAGGAAATAATCCCATAGGGACATTATTGTACTCTGACGAAAAGCAACAAATCATCGATAAAAAATGTGTCACCTCAGTCAAAATAACAAAAAATCAAACTGGGGCTTCATCTCTAAAAAGGTGAGTTCATTTTGCTAAACATATAGTTGTGTCAAACAAACGCATCGCATAGATGACAGTTTTATACTTTTGTTTGTCCTTGACAGCCCCTGTGTATTTGATTTACTCTTTTAATGTCAAAAGATGTAAAATAAATAAATAAATAAATAAATAAACTTTGCAATTCTGTGCATCTATGACGCTGATCAGCCAGCACACCCACTTTTTACGGATTCATATAAATAACGACAGCAGAGTATAGAGGCACTGATTGATCAGGTATAGAAACCAAATGGTTTCCAGGAATGGATAAAGTGGATTGTAATCCGGGCGTTTTACAATAGTGCGCCTCCTACAGTTTGCAACGAGTTGGCCAATCACATTGCGCGAAATCTGTCGACCCAGTGCGTGTTTGGAAAGGGTCGACAGATTTCGCGCGTTGTGATCGGCCAACACGTGGCAAACTCTTGGAGGCAGGCTATTGTGAGCCGCCCGTATCAAATAATTTCAGTCCAAACTTACTTAAACTTTCCACGCTCTAGAACACTGCATCACTGGATCATTTAGAAATGATTATAAAAAGTAAAAAACTTACGAACAGAAAGGTTTGGTCTTAAGGTCGACACTAAATAACTTGCAACGACCCAAGAACCTGCTCGCGATGTTTAGTGCAAGCACAAAAATCCCTTTCAATTAAGCCTGTAGTGTACTCCTGCTCCAGTTACCATCTGGCCCAGTCGGTCTGTTATCTCAATTACTCTTAAATCTTTTAGTGTTTCGATTTCAATTAAGAGCGATCCCCCCATCGAGAGTGGACATGAATTTCCCAAGGGCACAGAAATGCTTCAAGAAGATTTCTCGAAAAATAGCTCTCACCCCCTATGAGGCCCTCGTCAAAGAAGTCCTCGAAGAGTGACTGATCACAGCCGGGTTGACTGCTGCCGCTGTTCGGGTAGAAGTCCATGTGCCCCACGGGAGCAATCATACCGAAGCCTTTGTGTGCAAAAGACAGGCGAAAAAGTGATGGGGGGAAAAGTCACGAAACAGTAACCGCGACCTATGCAATTCATCCAGTTTTGACCATCCATCCTTGCAGAATTTGTTCAGAAGTGCAAATTAATGGGAAATATTACAAAAGATGCTTGAACTGTCCCCAAACGGCTTGATGAGTTATAGACGTTTCCCTGATCCGGGGAAATACCTGTACCTGTTCGTATTCATATATTCATGTAAAAAGGGCTCAATCATGCGCATTACATTTTGGAAACCTTTACGCATTTGGTCAACTGCGCAAAAAAGCTGAGGTGCTTACAGAACTATCATTATCGGTACAGTGACTTTTTTCTTCTTTTGTGTGTCTTGTGTCGTCTCAGTGGCCTCAGCAAGCTATGTCACTAGCTTTATCCGGTTCGTAAGTGAATTCGTCGCAAAGGCGGACGCTCCACGATTTGCAGGCTGCCGTTGGAGGATTGCTGAAGTTGTGCATTAACCTACGGTTCCACGGTTCCATGTCAACGGCGATCAATGCACTGCACCAAATACGCGCCCATAGAAAACAGTGCAAAATCGGATCGAAATAGCGCCGCCTGTCAACTCTCGTGAAAAGGTTGGCCTCCCTTTTGTCACTGGAAATTATGGCCAGAAGATCACTTTTCGTTTAAGTTTTACGGGGGTTAGCTAGGAAAGTTTTTATTATTCGCCTTTCCCCGAAATACTGTAGTTGTAAAACTATGCGCTCAGCTCTGAATGAAGCCGCTCGCCTCTATCCAAAATAAGCCCGCAATTCGGGGCTTTCTGTGAAAGAAATACCCCGAACTGGAAACTATCAGTCCCAAATTCGGGATTTATAGAAATATTTCTATGATCCCTCCTGAGTATGGTATGTCTTTTTGTAAAAACCCCATGGGATCATAAAATATTAATGAGCTCGCGCAGAAATACAGGAATGCACCCTCCGATGCGCACAGTATGTGTGCAGTGGGCGTGGTTTAAACTGAAGTGACGTCACACTTACGAACCGGATAGATCTTTTTCACCCACGTGACTGGATTGCGCTAAATGTAAACAATACCACCACGTGTGAACCGCCTTAGCGACGGGTGGTCGCATACATTCCTACAGGCAGCTTCAACCACGTGCAATTATGCAGAAGCGCATGCACGTCGATGAAAATAGAGTACCATCTCAACACTACGCGCTCATTATTATCACAACACAGCGCAGTCCAGCACGACTGTGACCTGACAGGAAAAAGGTCTATAGCTCAGCATAGCTAGAACTCAAAGTGACGACCAATGGGATAGTTCCGTACCTAGCTCGAGGATGTTTTTTGCGTCTGAGTGGATAGTGTCCACGAAGAGAGCATCGGTGGGATCCAATCGGACCTCTGGCTGGGTGTTCTCGAAGCCTGGTCCAGCCGGATCCAATCCTATGAAAAAAGAAAATCAGCCAGTCGAGCCTGTGTTTCAATGTGGCACCTCTATAGCCGTTGGAACAACGTTCCGGGCTAAAGTCCTATCAGTTATAAACTTTTCATCCTATGGGACTCTGGGGAATTGAACAACGAAAAAGTGTTGGGTTAATACTTAGGAACTCCAAATGTCGGCGTGGGCGTGATTCGAACCAGGGCTGCAGAGGAAGAAGGCAAGGAAAGTATCGTCACGCCAACTCGACTCATGGAGTAATAGAATGATTTCAGAGCAGATCTCACTTTCAGGGTTAGGGGAACTATGAGCGAAAGCTTCTAATTTTTAAGTTTTGTCGGCAATGCCACAGGACAGAGCAGCGCCCAATGAATCCGTGGGGTTTTAGGCTTTGCCTTCTTGGAACAGCCAAAACGTGCATTTGACAAAGTTTTCCTGGCGAAGAAATCTCGTCGCCAGGTTGATCTTACTAGGGCAACTACAATGTCCAGTGTTGGGAATGACAGAGTGACGTGGAAGGCGATCTCTTGGAAGTTATCCAATGGAAACATGTTTATTCTCCATGTAATGAATTCCACATTCCAACCGGCAGGTGTGTGCGTTTCGAGCTTGTGGATGATGTGCTATTCCTTCTTCGAGCGTACCAAGGAAGATTTTTTGTGTAACCTTGGGCAACCTATACGACTGGCAGGCAATATGAGAGGGGTGTGTGCTTTTCTTACCCGTGATTCGGCCAAGGCCGGACTGTCGTTCGCCGACGTATCCACCGATGTGAGACCCGAGACTGTGTCCAATGAAATGGAAAGACGCCGCAGAAATACCGTACAGTGCCTGCATGTCAACAGAATCGACAATGGTATTCAATGAAGAACGGAGAATTCGTATTAGAATACGGCCATTTCACAATAGTGCGCCACCAAGAGTTTGCAACGCGTTGGCCAATCACAATGCGCGAATTAGTCGACCCAATGCGCGTTTGGAAAGGGTCGACAAATTTCGCGCGTTCTGATTGGCCAACGTGTTGCAAATTCTTGGTTGCGCACTTTTGTGAATCGCCCGTATTCAGTCTTTCGCAAAACCTTGATTTCAGAACAGGAAAAGTGTGTCCTTACCGTAACAGGTAGTGGTGTAATGATGACCTTTTTTGGGATTTTGATGGAGTTCACACCCTACGAGAGCCGGGATATTTTGGACCATATCACGGCTCCCCTTCGGGGGGGGGGTCGGATCGTCAAAAACTCACCTCTCTCATGCCCAATTTTTCAAAATGTGTTCAAATTGTTATATGGTCATTTGAGGTGAAAGGTCATACGCGCACCAGCCTGCTTGCATTGAGCACGACAGTGGACAAAAACCCATTTTTTGGCTAACCTGTCTCGGAAAGCAAGGGTACTGCGCGGAACAGTACATTCGATTTTCACAAAATTTGCGTCAAAATGACTGCAAGGAGTTACTGACAAACTCCTGAGGGTTTGGCTTGTAAGAGTAATGCACAGCAGCGATATTGAAAAAAAAGTCGTCGTGCGGATTCCGGCTCTTCTAGAGTGAATAGTTGGCAGCCAGATTTGTCGTTCTTTGCACATAACACGTGTTTCTTTCATTAGCGGGATTGAGGGTATGAGAAACACAGAGAAACCATACGCTTAGTGCAAAAGCTACGCCAACATATGCCCTTGACCGCATAATCTCAATGCAAAACAACTGGAAAACGTACCCTCAAAGCGAGTGGGTCCCTAACCACTCCAAGAGAATGAAACCACTCTAAACGAGTTTAAGTCTCCACTATTCCACGGAGCCTTAATTAAATTTTATGAGGGGCAACTCGGAAAAAAAACTGTCTTTTATTATGGCTCCTCTTTTGAACGATTTTAACTCTTGTTATGAAGTGGATTTATAAATGGACTCATTCTTTTTTGAGAGCGACTTGTTTCACCCTTTTGCCTTTGTGAGTGCATGCTGGCCAATCAGTGGTCTCGCTCGGCCTGACGTCAGGAACTGACTTCTATATCGAGCCTTTCAAAGTTATTAATTTCTTAGAAGTTTCCACATCAAAGAGGTTTCTACCTCGAACTAAAGATTAAGTATACACGACTGTGTATAGACTGCTGGGAAAATAAACACTTTCATGATTAAATGAAAAATGTAAAGCATGATGGATTGTGCTATAATTCAGCTTTCATGTTGTACTTGAAATCTCATTCAGTATTAAACGTGTTACCAGCACTTTGATATAATGGGATATAACTAGGTCAAGACATACCCTGAGTTTGTCAATGAGTCGCGAGGTCTCGGCACCCACGATCCTGGTGTTGGACAGAGCCTGTGTGTAAGGGAACATCGACCCGCTTCCCCAGACAACCTTAATGACGTTGTAGTCGGCGTAGTTGAGGAATTCTTTCATCATGTTGGTCATCCAGTAATCCCACTCAATCACGTCTGCAAGGGGAATGGGGTTCAGTGAAATATACCAAGAAATGCCGCTACATTTAACCATTTTTGAAAAATCTCTGGTACCAAATTTTGTGGTGGGAACTTCTCTTTCTTTCGTGGGGAACAACAAATATTTTAGAATTTTTCATGTAACCTTACATGGTCTAAATGTAGGCCAGGCGAGGCTTCATTCTGGGGATTTTCACACGCTTTTGGAAGGAAAGATGAAACAGACCAAGAAAAATCGCCTTTCTCTCATTATTTGAAAAATGGTTCTTTGCCCTTGACCTCCGTTGACTCCAGCCTCCCCTGACCTTTCCTTGGAGGCCACCTAAATCTGGTCAGGTGATCCAGTCATTAAACAAAATCTGGTGAGCTGACACCTATCGACCGATCAACGGCCTATGGCAGGTACCAGTGACGTCAAGTTGATTGGCTAGCGCGGGGTGCATGGGACATGTCAACGGGTAATCCGCTCCAAGCGGAACAAAAGAGGGCGTGTTTTTGGGTGCTCACAGCATAGGCGCGCCACGAGGCGCGCAAGTATGCGCGTTTGACGTGGAGCACGCTGAGTACGCGTAACTAATTTATTCCGGCTTGTATGGTCTATGGCTGAGTTTGGGCGGCTTGTTCCCGTATGTTAACGAACAGCTTGATTTGTTTTCGTGGGTCGGCCGCTCGAACGCCGGGAACAAATGAACCGGTTATCGCTGGTGGTTAGTGACATGCAACATGGCGGCGTCCATGTAGCCTAGGCTACGTTATTCGAGAGTTAATTTTTGGATGAGCTGAATTCTTTTCTATATAAACATGAACATTCATTTCTGTGTTACTGAAAATAATTAATGCTAATTTTTGTTAAGTTAATTGTCAATGGCTCTGGAAGCCATCTCTCTACTTTTTTGCAGCTGTTCAAAAATCAAAATCTCACAAGTTTTTCCATGTGTTCATGTTGTACCCTGACGAAAAGGTGGTGTGTGATCCTGTTCCGAGAACAGTGTCCTTGAGTCGTGTTCCCGCCGGTCGAGCGCGAGAACAAGAAACCCGTGTCAAGAACAGGCCGCCCGAACTCGACCTTTGCGTACACGCAGAACGCGTGCAAGAACCTGCTTGTAACCACCTGTCTTTCTTTTGCCGATTGGGGGTGCATTTCAGCTCGGGACGGATAGATGACAGTCGGGGTAGTGCCATTTACCCTTGCTTGCGATTTTTCGCTTTGCCGTTTGGAAGGGTAATCAATGTTCTAGCTCTATAACCAGGTCTAAGAACTTGGTCAGGGAACCCGTGGGCCTACAGTGGTACCTAGGGCCTATGTGCAGAGTACATGATAAGTGCCTACTGGGTATTCCACATGGTAGATCATCGATACATTGTTATGTCATCCAATAGTGCCGGCTTCGGTCTTTTTTTTTTAAAGCAAACAACTTTTTGTAAAATGGATTCTCACTGCTCTCGAGGAAGCCGTGGCATATCAGCTTAGTCTCCTTGCTTGGGTCAAAGTGGGAACTGGTGATGCTGCTGGGATTGTCAATGTATAGCTCCTGAGCCTGGTCCTTCAGTGGGTTGTGGCGAGTGTGCAGCAGGAATCGCGGGTTGACGCGGCTGGGGGACTGCGGCGCCCAGCTCAGCGGGCGCTGCGGCGGATCCAGGAAAGGGTAACCATAGTTGAAGCAGCCGATATTCGAGTAACACACTTCCTTGGCTCCTGCATGAGGAAATCGAGTACCATTACTTCTATGATTATCCAAGGAACATTGCTATCTAATCAGTCAGTTACTGTAAAGAAATCACTTCTTAAATAATCATCTATCATCAAGTCCCTTTTAACAATTATTTTGAATTTTCGTGTTGCCATTTTATGGTTATTTCCATGCTCTGAGGGCACTGCGTGGAGCAACCTCGGCATCACAGATATTGCTGTACAAACAACTGAATTGGAAAGTAAATTGATTTGTTCTTATGAACTTTCAAATTGAAAAATAAAACAAAACGTATCCAAGGGATCAAATCAGATAAATGTTTACACATAGATTATTATAACCAGGGCTTTATCTCTTATTTTTAGAATTTTAGAAAAACATTTTCTGACGTGAATTTTTGCAATTAATTCTGACAGAAATTTCTCCATGCCATGGTTGTAGGTTTTGCCTAGAATGGGTCGGTAAACTACGGATGGCCATGTAGGAGAAAAGCAACAGCTGACTAAACATTTGTAAATAATCTTAATTTATACAAAGACTTTTTACCTCTGCTTTGTTTAAAAACAGAAAAACGATGCGCTTTTCATGCGGCCAGCAAAGCTGATGCCAGTGGACAGTCAGATCATTTATAATGTTGTCTGACCAAAACTTCTTACTTTTGTTCAAGGGGTCATTTCACATCAGCTTTGATGATCCCCTGGAATTTCTCATAGTCATTCACGTCAATTCCAAAGTAGGATTAGGGTATCTCACCCTCACTTTGAAACCAGAGAGGATGGGCTGTTGAATAACCCCCATGCACCACATTTTCGTGGTGAGAAAAATTAAGTTTATTACATTGCACGCACTGTGCGTTGCTGCTCCGTAGGATTTTTCCTATTGTATGTACTTGACCTTATATCACTACCGGGTACCTTATAAACGGCTCCGTCGCTTGCGCATCTGCACCTTGGAGAGAATCATTTCTGTCCGCAGTCCTGCAAATTAACGACTGGACCAAGGGCTTACTTGATTTTAACACCGCATACTGCACAGGTACACGTGGTTATAATGTGGACCCACGAGGCATGCTCACAGCGTGGGTATTAAAACTCAGTTTCGGGCCTGGGATGTGTTTGCGATGGACTGCTGGTATGGTTTTAGTTCATCATATCATAGGTGGGCTTGGCTGCAGCTAGCTTGTCGTTTTTTCGTCATGTCGCAATGTCAATGCGTCTGTGCAGAGCACATGGGGATAGCCTTATTGGCATCAGACGGGGAAGTGCCAGACGACCATTAGTGTTTTCTTTAATCATCGGCGGGTTACAATAATTTGTACATGGACAATAAAAACAAGCCCAAGGCTTGGACCATTTTACCAGTATTCATTTGATTGGGAACTCAAGGCCTTATCTATTTGGATTGAGTGTTTTGGGCATTTTTTGAAAAAAATTAAATTACTTTATACACGACAGAAAATCAAGACCTAAATTTGCTGGATCACTAGCCCTAAAGAGTATTTTGAGTCATTTCACGATTCATTTCACATGGATTTTTAAAACTTAAAAATCTCTCATTAAAATTGCTTATTATTTGACGCCTGATGACTTTATAGTGAGTCAACCTTGTAGGCACATATTGGGATCAACGTTGATGTGCATACCATCTTTGAAGTACCATGTTGAAAAATGACCAGGAGAATTATTGTCCGGGAAAAATGAGAGATGGAATCGTACGGTTTCAAAAAAGGTGATTGGGTTGAGCCCAATTATAATAATATTCATACATTTTCAATCCTTCCGTATTGTTGTTTGTACTCACGATTTTCAGCGAACACCAACGGCAGCCATACTAGAAGAAGGACGATTGGTTGCATCTTGGAATGCCTGCGTGGGTTGCAAGAGACCTAAACACTCAGCGAATCCAGTGTGTCGCTGGGAAGATAGAGACTCGGCTTGAAAAGAACAGCCTTATATCGGAAATCCATGAGCGGGTTGCGTGAGACCAGGAACCCAGATCCGCCTAATCTACAGTTCCTAATCTATTCCTGATTGACAGCTGTCCATCAATGTGCGTGGCGTCTTCTTCAGAAAATTAAATGTAAAAAGCAGAGCAAAACAAGAAGTCTGGGTTTTTTAAGTGTCTGTCTTCAACGTCGATTGGCTTTTGACGGAAAACCGGAAACTTGACAGAAAGCGATTATCGGCAGTGCTCTACTCAAGGGCATATTGGCAAGGAGAATAGATAAGACGGGTAGTGGCACGTCCTGCGGGGAGGAAGGCGGGGGAAGCAGGGACAGTTGGAGGCAAGTCTCCCCCAGGACATGTTCCTTATTCTTAGAGTTAAAAGTTAACACTATAGAAACGGTATCCCTGTGGAATGGTCGGTTGCAGTATGTGTACATAACCACACTTTGTCAATGACCCTGCCCAAGCATGTCAGGTTCCTCGGGGTGGGTTTGGTCGGTGGGTAAACCTCAGATGGAAAATGACTAGGCCTATGCAGGATCAAAAGTGATGTTTCGAATGAGGATTACATGTAGTCTCATCCGTATCGACCTTGATCAAGAACTGGGTCCCATTCGGCGTGACTCTTTACTGGGAAAAACAATGACCCCCCTTTCGGGTGGTATTTGACTCTTTCTGGGTCATAATTTGACCCGGCAAAGGGTCACACCGAATGGGACCCAATTCTGGGTCAATTTGACCCGGGAGTTTTTGAAGTGTATATTTGTCATTAGAACTCTACTGCACAGACCTGCACCTGACCGAAGATCTAAAGGTTAACTAACAGCTGTCCAATTCTGGCCCCTGGAAAATTTCAAATGACCACATAAAATCTTCTCTCGAATAGGTCAACTCAAGTATTTTTTTCAGATCCTTTTACAAGGCTGTCGTGATATTGCCAGCCCCTTAATTTATCCTTTCAAGATAAGACAACTTTTTCCGTTTGTAAATTCACAGATAATTCAGTAGATTTGATAAGTCATAGTTAATGAAATGATATCCGTTATCTGAGTGACGTCAACCAATCAGGTTATCTCTTTCCGGTTGAAAAACACTTCTAATAAGGAAGGTTATCTTACTAGGGGTGTGTTCAACAGGTGTGGGGATACCCACGAACGCGGGAATGGTAAAACAACATCCTATAGTTAACTGCTTCAAGAGCGGAAACTGACACTAAACTTGGTTCCTCGGGATTGGCTCGGCATAATTATTTATATGGGAAGGCTCCCTGTATAGTCAAAGGTCTTCATGTGCGCATATGCTTTTCCTCAGTGACGAACGTCGGACTCTACTGTGGCCAAGTAAGGGAATTAACTTTTCACCGCATTTCGGAGTTTGAGGTACGTGAGACCATGAATTCGATTCTGTCACACCGGCTACGCCAAAAATAAAACCAAAGATTGTTTCCATTTTTTTGGGCAAACATCTGAACCAACCAATCAAAGACAACATACAGGGAACTACAAAGAGACACAATTTGTAATATTTTTTCGAAAACATTCAATAACTCCGCAGTTTCTTCGTCTAACAATATTGAAATTGTGCACTGAAACTGTATAAATTCATTGCTCGCATTTTCTTGTCCAGCTCATTTTCTGGCAAGTACATGGCGACCAGAGTCTCTTTTGAATAAAAGTGAGAATTTTTTTTATTGATTTAGGCAAAATGTTCAACCTGCCATTTAGTTGATAAAATTGCTCACTCGCTACTAACAGAACGAATACTCCCGACCAGCGTGGCTCTTTTCAACCGATGAGGGGGTGCTTCTGCTCGAGGCGGGTACGCGGTCAAAATGTAATCACGTTCAAGTTAGGTTTAGCACGAGTAGACACCTATCTAGGAGTCATCTCTAAGGTGCAGGCTAAAAAACCATTGTCCATGACGTGAATATGATTGTGACTGGATTCTCACTGTGCGCACCTTACGAGTGACTGATCTTAGTGAATGTTAGTGTGAGGGGTGTAGCTGAGCTATACTGTGGTGCCTGAGGTATACTTCCTCCAACCGGAATTATGCCCCAGGTGTTCCCAATAACCGTTCGTCGGGAGGGCTGAATCCTGAGCGTTTCCCCCGCAGTGCACCCTAGCTGGTCGGAAGGGTTACAGATTTGGTGTAAGAACTGGGACTAACATGCAGCCTACGATTGAGTCTATTCACCACCTACCTGAGCTACACGGCAGCTTTTCCATGTAACTGAACTCAGCGACTTGTCGACAAACGATTTAGAGTAAGCAACCTCCAGCGAGCACGGAAGAGAGGAGGAGAGCAGCTTAAGGCGGAGAACCATCGGCTACAGTTTCAAGTGTGAGAAATACTGGCGAATCTTAACGCAAGCTAAGGGAATGTCTGCACCTACCGTACCCCTTCAGCGAGTGAAAGCAACAAAGAGGGATAGTTCTTTTGCCAAGGAAGCAGTTTGCCATCGAAGACGACGGAGGACGTGTCCTTGCAGGTGAGCTGCACCCTATCAGGAGATAATGTGTTGGAATTATTCGGTGTAGAGGAGAGAGCTAAGAAACGGCCGATTATCCTGCCAGACCGACTCAACGGAAAGACCCTGTGACAGGACTTCAAGCAAAACTTCGAAGCTTGTAAGCCAGCAAATAATAAGACTGACAAAGGAGTTGAGGTTTCTCTTCCAGGAAATATGCAAAGCGAGGCTGTGCGCAATTGATTACTCTCCTTAAGAAGTAATTCGGGCGGGGACAGTTGGCCAAAAAGCACCTAATAGAACTGCAGCAGAGCCGTCAGGGAGAGGGGACACTACAAGAACCCGGGAACCATCCATGACAGTCAGGGATGAGTTTGAAGAGGAGTCTGGCATCTGAGGGAGTCCTTGCAGAAGAGCGACCAAGAGGTTTAAGATTGGTTAGTGCGAAAGTTCTCGAAGCCATGCAATAAAGGCGACAGCAAGGTTGGCCTACTGGGCGGAGGGCGGCCTCGGAAGACGTGTGCCACCAGTACACAAACAAGGTACGTTGTGTACGAAACTGTGGGTAATGATCAGGCAACCGAGACACAGCAATTCGGGAAACGACAGCCAGCTGGCTCAACGGCCCGATGATCGACGACTGGAGCAGCAAATGGGCCAGAAGAACCAGGTGGAGACAGCCTCTAAAGAAGCGAAAGAAAGGTTAAAATGATTTGAGACCAGGCAGTGATCGAATGGTGCGCGCAGGACTATTTGCAGGCGCAAATCAGGGAGTCCACGGGAAATTGTTGGTGGACACAGGAGCAACGGACTCTGTCCTGTCCGTCTTCGCGGTTTTACTTCCGAATACCCAAGGAGAAGCGGCCTGTGAGAAGCAGAGAGTGAAGGTGTGGGCGTTCAGAGCATTGAAGCAGAATGGATGGATGGAAATGCAGATTGATCATGACAGGACGACATGCTCACGTCCTGCTAAATTGAGCAACACGAGAGAAGTTGGAGGGATCCTGAGTACCTTTTGTAAGGAGTGAAAAAGACATCAGCCGTTCAAACTTGGTTCGACATGAGAGAGGTATAGGCGCAATGCTTCTTATCAAGGAGAAGCCCGGATGTTTTCCTCTCAAAGACTAAAATACAATTGGAAAGGTTGGATAGAGCCCACGGATGGTCTTTGGGCATCGTCACCTTACCCAGTTGGATGCCTTTCCAATACGTGGCATCGATGAGTTTCTAGACCTTCTGTCCGGCAGCAAATGGTTTTCCAAGTTGGACCTTGCCAACAGGTACTGACAGGTGGAGCTCGACATCCAAAGCGGCTTTTACACCTGATGAGAGATGCCGTTTGGTCTGTGCTATGCCCCCTCCACTTTTGAGCGGTACGTTGATGGAGAGGGTGCCAGCTGACCTTCACCGGGAACCCCAACGGTCTAATCCGATGATGTAATCGTTTTCGCCAGGACCATTGATGACGAACTGACCCGGCTTGCCCCAAAAAGTAAAAGCAAAAGAAACGATCGTGATGAACGTTTACTGTATATTGTAAATGAACGTTAGACATCGACGTTATCCGCCTCAAGCAGAAGCACCCCCTCATCGTTTGAAAAATAGCCAGACTGTTTGGCGTATGTGAGATTTATGTTCGGTGTTCAGTCTGCTCTGTATAGTGCTGCCGTTTCTATGAGTATTTAACGATGGCATTGAATTTTTCAAAACGTCGAGCAAACCTTTTTGTCGTGTAAAACATTTCAATATAAATGTATGTGTAAAATTGAACACTCAACATTATATTTTAGACGGGATGCCCGTGGAATTTGGCAGAGACATACGCGTACTGTTACTTTGGCGATTTTGTCATTTTATTACTTTGTGTTTTAAATGCTGGCACAACGTTTCATCGAGGATTTTGCTCGAACTAACTCTGTAAACAGACTTTAAACGCCAACCTAACGTAGAAGTGACACCAGACAGTGAACCAATTAGTTACAGTAGCGTACTTCTCAAAGCTATACGAAGTACGCCGTCTGCCGCCTGAAACTGTTTGAGGGTGCTACAAACTTTCAGCTTTTCCATTCCTGCAGGATAAAGGTGCATTCTACGTATACTGACACAATGTACTAGCAATGGAAGCCGAGACTGCAACCAGTGTATTGGGTGCAGTACTGGAAAGTTGAAGAGTGAACATAACAGCTATGGGGTTTGATGTTTGATTTTCAACTGGTTTCTGCCTGGGAGAATCAGCAGCAAGGGAGACTCGCTGGCCCACAAATGTGTGAATGGATTGAAGGTGGAATAATTCTACTCAATTAATAGAAATTGGCCTTTAAAATGTGTATTCAGTAGTCACCTCTCTGTCTACTGGACAAACCATGCAACATCTGTTTGCCCCTTGGGGGAATTTCAGTACACATTTGCCGCGGTTTTGTTGGTTTGGGAGGTGACTGT